GAGCTTCACAATAAATGGAGAAAAGATTGAAATTGTCAAGGATTTCATATTACTTGGTTCTACAATCAACACCAATGGAAGCAGTAGTCAAGACATCAGACAATGTATTGCATAGGGCAAATCTGCTGCAAAAGACCTCTTTCAAGTACTGAAGAGCAAAGATTTCTCCTTGAAAACTAAGGTGCATGTAACCCAAGTGCACCTTACTGTATTGTCAATCACCTTTTATGCATGTGAGAGCTGGACAATGAATAAGGAAGACCGAAGAAGAATCAATGCTTTTGAGTTGTGGTGTTGGAGAAGAATGCTAAGAGTACCATGGTATGCTAAAAGGACTAACAAGTCTGCACTGAAGGAAGTGCATCCAGAATGCTCCTTGGAAATGAGAATGTCCAAACTTGGTCTCACCTTTGGTCATGTTGTCAGAGGAACAATTCCCTGGAGAAGGATATCATACTTGGTAAAATGGAGGATAAATGAAGAAGGGGAAGGCTCTCAACAAGATGGATAGACACAGTGGCTGCAATGATGGGCTCAGGTATAGCAAGGATTGTGAGGCTGGCACAGGACTGGGCAGTTTGTTCTGTTGTGCATAGGGTCACTATGAGTTGGAAACAACTTGACAGTACCTAACAACAACAACAATAATATCCATAATTTATAATGATCCACACAGTTGATTAATTTTGCATAGCCAATAAAACACAGGTAAACATTTTCTGGTATTCTTTGCTCTCAACCAAGATCCCTCAGACATCAGCAATGATATTCCTTGTTCCACATCCTCTTCTAAATCCATCTTGAATTTCTGGTAGTTCCCTGTCAATATATTGTACCATTGTTGATTTATCTTCACCAAAATTTTACTTGCATGTGATGTAAATGATATTGTTTGATAATTTCCACATTCTGTTGAATCACCTTTTAGAATGGGCACAAATATGTATCTCTTCCAGTCAGTTGGTCAGGTAGATAAGTACTAAATTTCTTGGCATAAATCCATCTATTGAAACATCTCAGTGTGTTATCCATTGATTCCTAGAGCCTTGTATTTCACTAGTGCCTTCAGTGCAGCCTGTGCTTCATCCTTCAATACCATTGGTTCTTGATCATATGCTACCTAGTGAAATCGTTAAATGTTGACCAATTCTTTTTGGTACAGTGATTCTGTGTATTCCTTCCATATGCTTTTGATGCTTCCTGAGCTGTTCAATATTTTGCCAATAGAATCCTTTAATATTGCAACTCAAGACTTGAATTTTACATTCAGTTCTTTCAGCTTGAGGAATGCCAACTATGTTCTTCCCTTTTGGTTTTCTCACTCCAGGTCTTCGAACATTTCATTACAGTACTTTGTCTTCTTGAGCTGCCCTTTGAAATCTTCTCTTTGTCTCTTTTATTTTATTATTTCCTTTTGTTTTGGCTACTCTCCATTCAAGAGCAAGTTTCAGAATCTCTTCTGACATCCTTTTTTTATTCCTTTCCAGTTTTTTTAATGACCTTTTGCTTTCTTCATGTGTGATGTCCCCAATGTCATCCCACAATTAGCCTGGTCTTCAGTCACTGATGTTTAGTGCATCAATTTTATTCTTCAAATGCTCTCTAAATTCAGGTAGGATATATTCAAAGTCATATTTTGACTCTCATAGACTTGTTTTAATTTTCTTCAGCTTCAGCATGAACTTACGTGTGAGCAAGTTCCATAGTCAGTCCCTGGCCTTTTCCTGACTGATGATATTGAGCTTCTCCATCACCTCTTTCTCCATTCACATCATTAAGTTTGACTTTACTTTTAGGAGGCAGCTCTTCCCCTGTTGTGTTTTGAGTGCCTTCCAACCTGAGGAGCTATCTTCTGGCACTATACCAAACAATGTTTCACTGCTATTCTTAAGGTTTTCAGTGGACAATTTTTTTCAGAAGTGAACCACCATATCTCTCTTCCAAGTCTGTCTTAGTCTGGAAGCTCTGCTGAAACCTGTCCACCATGGGTGACCCTGATGATATTTGAAATACTGGTAGCATACCTTCTAGCATCACTGAAGCATACAATCTACCATAGTATGAAACTGGGTGTTGGGGAAGAAGGGTGGGCTGAGAGAAAAGAGGTTGCAGAAATGCTCAACTTAAAAACTGACCTAATAGGAAGGCTAATTGGATGGATGAGGATAAGGTAGGTTTGGTTTGTACCTCAGGCCCATTTTCATGAAAAAAGAGAAATAACTCAAGTGCCTATGGACTTTTTGAAGGCAGATACCAACATGAAAAGTTGAATTTAGTTCATTTTGAGTGAAGATAGGAGCAGGGAACCTCCTGGGATATTTTATGCACTCCTATCTTGATGCTGTCCTGATAATTTCTGTTCATGGTGAAGATGTCTCTCCTGATGTCCTGATTTGCATATTGGTACTGAAAAGGAGAGTTATGTCAACACATACATTTTCCCTCTTTGTCTGGCTGCTAGCAAGCCCACAGAGTAAAACTGCATTTAAAATCTGCCATTTTCTATCATCAGAAATTCTCCTACATCTCCCTCCCTTTATACCTCATATTGTGCTCTTGGTTTTGTTTCAAGCAAGTTCAAAATCATTTCAGATGTTATGCCATTCAACCAATTGATCAATGACAATTGATTTAAAAAAAAAAAAAAAAAACAGCAAAAAAAGGTCTTGTAATGGTCTCTAAAAATGGAGAAAAAAGTTCCATATTTTTCTTACTTCCTTGTCCCACTCCAGATAGACAAGCCCATAAAATCAAATAAGCTTATGCTTATAAGTAGATTATCTCCTCTCTTCTTTATATTTGGGAAACTATATTCTTTTTCTTGCTTATTAGATTGTCAATTTCTTTATTGTGTGTGCCAGATTTTAATTTAATTATGTGTGATGCTTATTAAAGCTTGGCACTACATAAATAAGGACAAATGTGAAGTTGCTACACTGATGGGAAATCTTCCCTATGACAATTGTTTCTTGTTGTTGTTGTTGTTATTTGCCATCGAGTCGGCCCCAACTCATAGCAACCCCTCCTTGGGTTTCCGAGGCAGTATCACTACGGAAGTAGGAATGCCCAACCTTCCTTCCGAGGAGTGGCTGGTGGGTTTGAACTGCCAGCCTTCTGGTTAGCAGTCCAGTGCCTTAGGTACTATGCTACCAGAGCTCCTAGGCAGGGTATATTTACATCAATCAACTAGATTTCTTACATGCCCTACATCAATCCGTTAAACCTCTGCATTAATGCTGTTAAACCAATATCTTTTTAATGACTTGGGAAATTTTTTTGTGTTTCAAAGTATTAAGTGTTACATTTGAATTTTTTTATAATGATACTATTTCTAAGGCATTTCACAATATTGCCATAGTCTGGATGTTCTGTTTGTTTTTCATAGCATTCAGGCAGAGGAAAAACTTAGGAACAACAGATCATAATTCTGAAATTTGATGTGCATAAAAATTTGGGAGGTTGCTTGCTAAAAATGCAGAATTCCTTCATTCCCCAATACCCCTAGGTCATTCTTCCTAAGAATTCAAAGGATGGAGCTCAAGAGTCAGTATTTTAAGCTATAAGATTGCTTCTTACCTTGGGAATTGGTCACTATTTCTGGCTGAATACAAAGAAAGTAATGTGCCTAAGAGAGGGCTGGATATGAATGTGGTTAGTAAATTCCTAGGAAAGATTTGTGATGGTTTCTTTTTGGATTCATCAGAAGGAAGTGAGATTTAAATAATGTCTAAGGGAAGCAGAGACTCTAGATCACTATAAGTTAATAAATAGTGTGAAGGTTAAGGTTGCCTGTCAACTTAACTGAGCCATGATTCTCAGTGGTTTGGCAGCTATGATGTAGTCATCTCCCATGATGAAATCTGGTAAAACATAATCATCTCTATGATAAGCTCTGCTATGAGCAGTCAATCAGTTGAAAAGAAGTTTCTTCAGAGATGTGGCATGCTTCCAATATAGATGAACATTCTGGCAATGCTCTCTGGCATTCTGCATCTGACTTATCATCATCTGATCTCTGGTTCTTTGGACTTGGGTCAGCTGCCTGTTATTTGCCTACCAATCTTGGGATTCATTAGCCTCCTCAGCCTGTGAGCCAGCAGCCTGCAATCTGACCAGTCAATCTTGGGTTGGTCAGCCTTTGCAGCTACATAAGTCAGGAGAAGTCTCCAACCTGGTATCTGCCCAATAAACTTGGAACTTGACAGCTTCTTCAACTGCATGTGCCATTTCCTTGATATAAAACTCTCTATACATATGTATACATATCAACTTCAGTGGTTTTGCTCCTTTAGGGAAACCAGCCTAAGACAAATAGCCTAGGCATTTCCTAATCTATGTGCATCTCTGGATACCATTGTTGCTCCTGGAACATTATCCCTTATTCTCTCTCTCTGTTTTTCACTGTACAATGAGTGTCTCTAGGACTATGACTAAAAAGCATTTTTTTGATCCCCAGTTCCTTGAAAAGTACCTGTCATATTAGAGGCATTCAGTTAATAGACCAATGAATGCATTAGTTTATTCACTTATCCACATATTTTTATTGAACTCCTACCATGACTCAGACACTTTTCTAGGCGATGCAGATACAGTGGTGAATAATATGACTAATGGTACAAGGAGAATGCCTATCTCTTAGGCTGTTTGTTCATAGCAAAATGGAGTCATAATATTGTCTTTGTGTCTCTCAGAAGATTTTGAGGATTAAGAAACCAATGTTTACAGAATGACTCAAGACTTTTTTTGAGAAAAGACAACATAGAGAAGACTGTTATATGGTCTTGACAGAAAAGATCTAAGTTTTACTTAATGGCATTGCTCTTTTAGACTTTTCTCTTTACTAAGTTTGCTTAAGAGAAGAACAATTTAGAATCTCTCTAATAAATGCATTGGGATTGTATCAAGTTGATGAAGCATTATGCTAATAATTCACTGATTATAGGATATTTTATGCTTCATTTTCTGCTGATAGTTTACCCCAGGAATACTACACACCTTACCTGATCTCTTGCTCTTCACTGGTCAGACCCAATCCAAATGTATGATGGATATCATAGCAAGAGTTGCTATCTTCCAGTAACCTAGGATACGGTGAGGACAGAAACCATATGTAAGTTGATGGTGCTTAACAAATCAGTATTCTCCCCCCACACATCCTGGTATAGTGGTGAGAAAAAGTTGGACTTACCCAACTTTTTTAAATTGCTTCTCCAAGTTATCCCAAACATATCTGATTTTCTGAACTTGGATGCATCGCAGCTGCAATTACAAACATGATAGAACATATGACATTCACAATGGAAAGTCGATCAATAGAGATAAGGGTTATTTAAAGCAGGATCCCACATGGTCTCACTTTCTTCCATGTTGTTGTTATGTGCTGTTGAGTCGGACCCGACTCATAGCGACCCCTCCTTGTGTTTCCGAGGCAGTATCACTATGGAAGTAGATTACCCCATCTTCCTTCCAAGGAGTGGCTGTTCGGTTTACAGTCAAGTGCTTTAGGCACTACGCTACCAGAGCTCCTTTCTTCCATGGATAGTTATAATTCCCAGTCTAATTGGGTAATACTTAGAATTTTCATCCAATAAACACTTATATTATTCTTCCTTTGCAAAAACATGCCATAACATTGCACTCTTAAAATCACTTACTTTTAATTCTGGCTTCAGTACAGCTTTGTTTATGACAGAGTGGCAGTCAGCCACCAGAGGTTCTCCTGGGTTCTTGTTTATAGGAAACTTTAGTGTGGATAAGCAGAGGCAGATCACCTTCTTCCTCATATACCTTTGAAATTCATCCTGGAAAAGATAACATAGCCCATGAAATTCTCAAATATCACTGAATAAGGCACTTAATCAATCAAGCACCTATCAAATGCTATACTAGTGATTCCTGAAGTTATGGCTTCAGACAAGAGCATCACAATCACCTGGGAACATGCTAGACACACAGACTCTTGAGTACTAACCTGTTGTTGTTGTTATGTGCCATCGAGTAGGACCCAACTCATAGCGGCCCCTCCTTGGGTTTCTGAGGCAGTTTCGCTAGGGAAGTAGACTGTCCAACCTTCCTTCCAAGGAGTGGCTGGTGGGTTTGAACCACCAGCCTTCTAGTTAGCAGTCAAATGCCCTAGGCACTATGCTACCAAAGCTCCTTGGGTCCTACCCTAGACCTACTCAATTAAAAACTTTGATGGGGGGGTGTGTGAAAAGAAGTTTGTGTTTTAACAAATCCTCCAGGTGATTCTGATTTGCACTAATGTTTGAGAACCACGGTGCTAGACAATAAAGGAAAAGGTATATTTTACAATAAAGTTATACATCCAGAAAATGATTTCTGGATATTTTAAAATAGCATCTAAAACAAAACGAAAAAAAATAGTTGCTGTCAAGTTGATTCTGACTCATGTGACCTCAAGTGTGTCAGAGTAGAACTGTGCTCCATAGGGTTTTTGATGACTATTTTTCAGAAGGAGATCACAGGCCTTTCTTGCAAGTGTCTCTGGGTAGAATCCAACTTTTTTGTAACAACCTAGCACATTAACCATTTGCACCACCTAAAGACATCTAGCTGCAAAATGTCTAATTTCTCCAAAATACATATTTTTGAAAAATTGAATGATGATCCTTGTGTTAGGCATGTAAGAGTTAATGCTGACAGCCAGGCTCATGGAACAGCTAAGAGCACAACCAAATAACCTGGCCCTATAGAAATGTCCCCAGGCTAACATGGAGGAATTTTCCTATATCTTTCAAACAACATGTATATAGCAACACTCCTCCTGAAATTTATTTACCTTTATTTTGGTCTGTAGAAACTCTTTAAAGAGAGGAAGATCTAACTTCTGAAATGTGGGCCAATCACTAGTTGTGGCACAGATACAACATAGAAGACATGTTGATGGCATTTGAAATTGATAACAGAGGGGCACCCACCGTAGTCCTCAGCAAAACTGTGTCTGCTTCCTGCAAGGGGCATGAGATGCAGGTGGCCCACACCCTCCACTGGGGCCTCCAATAGAACACCAGCAAAAGGACCCCGCAGGTTAGCACTGATGCTATAAAGGAGAGGGCACTCCGTAGGGTCTGGCTTTGATATCCAAACACCTCCTGGAGAGAAAATGAAAGGCCATTCTAGTTTTCTTCATTTCACATAAGCATATGATTTTGATCCAACAAACAGAGACTTTTGATTCAGGAATATCAGTTGGGAGAGAAATCTGGTTTCAGCTGGTTGAATCAGGTCAACTACTTGCAGCTGTCAGTTGATACAATAAAAATGAAAGATTCATTTTACTATCTACCTGGCATGTGGAAATAAAACATTAGACAGAAGGAGCAAGAGATGGGCAAACTCACTTATTTCTATATATTCACAAGAATCACCTCAAGTTTTTTATGAAGTACCTCATGTTTTGGACCAGATTTATTCTCTTTAGGTATCAGATTTAAAAAAAAAAAAAAATCATATGAATTTACTGGAGAAAATGATGAGAATATGACAAATATGGCCTACACACATCTATATAGCCTATTCAGAATCAGCTTTGTTTTATAATAACATGATTTAGGATTATTGAATATATGAATTAATGTGATATTTTCTAAAACAATAGCGTGATATAAATTAAGGGATTGTTCATGGACAAGAAAGACTTTCAAAAGACAGCTTATGGATATATAACCTGAGAGTAACATGCTGAAACATTTGTGTTTTTAGTAGTAGGTTAGTTAATATTGATAATAATTTTAATAAAGACTTCAGATGTGCTTTTAGGAAAAATCAAAAAGCCAAAGAAATAGATTTGTATTTTTAAAGCCAATTTCTAATTTCTACACTTTACTGAGCTTTGGTAGCTCAGTGGTTAAGGCATTTGACTATCAATGCAAAGTTTGATGATTTGAACCTACCAGTTGCTCTGCAGGAGAAAGATGAGATGTTCTGCTTCCATAAAGCTTACAGCCTTGGGAAGCGGATGGGAGTCACTATGAGTTGGAATCAACTTTGTTTTTTCTTTTTTTTTTTTTTTTTTTTTTTTTTTTTTCTTCATTTAAATTTTTTTTTTTTTTTTTTTTTTTTTTTTTTTTTTGGTTATCCTTTACAATGACATGTCACAGCATTGCTTTTTAATTTCAAAAGGCAGATTTGTAAATGTGTTTTGAAGACACCAACATACATTGATTATAAATGGAAATTTAAAGTGGTATTATTTTAGGTTCTGCAAGTTGTGCTGCTGTTTTTATCTATGACTTCAAACTCCCAATGCCCAGATCACAAAGAAATTATAAAAATATAGAAATAGGAATTTCTTTGTTGCTGTTATTGTTATGTGCCATCGAGTCAGACCCAACTCATAGAGACCCCTCCTTGGGTTTCCAAGGCAGTATCACTACAGAAGTAGATTGTCCAACCTTCCTTCCAAGGAGTGGTTGGTGAGTTTGAACTGCCAGCCTTCTGGTTAGCAGTCAAGTAGCACTATCAATAATGGAATCTCCTGCATTTTATGCCAGTTATAGCAAATGTTACAGCAAATCTCCTGGCTTAATTCTTAGGACAGTTTTATCTGAGACAATATGCTCTTTATTAGGAAAAAGCATAATAATGATTAACTAATATGGTCACTTTTATTAATTTTTTTTTTCTAATAAAGAGCATATTGTCTCAGATCCAGATTATAATAACAGTTGTTGAAAGTGATCATTAAATGTACTGGAAAGGGCACACACAGTCTTATGACACAGAGACGTTAAGTTTGACTCACTGTTACCTAGGTGACCTTAGGTAAATTATTTCACCTCTAGGGAGTCCATGGTGGTGTAGTGCCTAAGGCATTTGACTGCTAACCAGAAGGCTGGCAGTTCAAACGCACCAGCCACTTCTTGGAAGGAAGGTTGGACAACCTACTTCCGTAGTCCGAAACCCAAGGAGGGATCGCAATGGAAACAACTCAATGACAGTAAGGTTTGCTGTTGTTGTTGTTGTTGTTGTTGTTTTGTTTGTTTGAGGGAGTCCCAGGTTATTCCTCTACAAAACAAAATTAGAAACATGTGCCTTACCAGGGAGCTGTGCTCAAATGAGATAATGTCTGCTTAAGTGCTTTGTAAAGTAATTACAATTAGAAGAGCTCCTTTCTATTGTTCCTCAACACCATCACCCACCTGGGGAAAATGTTCATTAAAGTTAGTGATACAGCCACTCTATTTTGAGGTTATTTTAGATAAGGTTAAAATGTAACTTAGAAACCTGTGTTTATTCTGCTTTTAACTATATTTTCAGTTGGGTGTTCTCTCTTTCTTCCTATATTCCATCTGTTTCTATAAACCTATTTTGATTTTTATTTGAGAATTATAGTTTTATTAGACCAAATAAAATATACATTCCAGTTTATATATTTATCATAAACATGTATTCTTTTACCAAGAGTTATTTACAGAGGCTATAATCAAAGCCCAAGTGTATACAGAACAGAAACAGAATCATCGTTGAAGATCTCTTACTAAATGATAAAATAAGCAGACAAAATATCAGTAAAAATATAGAAATGTTAAACAACCGTATTAACTAAATTTATCTAATTGACAGATACAGAAAATTACAGCCAACAAGGGCAAGATTCAACTTTCTATAAGTATACATGAAACGTTTGCACCATATTCTGGGCTATAGAGTAGGAAGACATCATAGTTAAAGGAGAAATTAACAATGGAATAGTAACTTAAAAATCCCCAAATATGGAAATTAAGCAGCTATTTCTAAACACCTGTGATCTAAATAAGAAATCACAATGTTGTTGTTAGGTGCCGTCGAGTCGTTTCTGACTCATAACGACCCCATGCACAGCAGAAAGAAACACCGCCAGATCCCGCACCAGCTCCATAATCCATGCAATACTTGAGCCCATCATCGCAGCCACCATGTCAATCCATCTCACTGAGGGCCTTCCCCTCTTTCCTTGACCCTCCACCGTACCAAGCATGACATCCATCTCCAGGGAATGGTCCCTTCTGAAAACATAACCAAAGTAGGTGAGATGAAGTCTGATCAATGCTCACTTTTAAGGAGCATTCCAGCTGCACTTCCTCCAGGACAGATTTGTTAGTTCTACTAGCAGTCCATGGTACTTTCAGTATTCTTTGCCAGCACCATAACTCAAAAGCATCAATTCTTCTTCGGTCTTCCTTATTCATTGCCCAGCTCTCACATGCATATGAAGTGAATGAAAATCTCATGGCTTGTGTCAGGTGCACCTTAGTCCTCAAGGAGGACTTTTGCTTCTCAGCACTTAAAAGAAGTCCTTTGCAGCTGACTTCCCCAGTGCTATACAATGTCTGATGTCCTGACTGCTCCTTCCATTGGCATCAGTTGTAGAACCAAGCAATGTGAATTGTTTGATAGCCTCAAACGTTTCTCCATTTATTGTGATACTGCTTATGGGTCCAGTTGTGAGGATTTTTTGTTTTCTTTATATTGAGATGTAATCCATACTGTAGATTGTATTCTTCAAACTTCATCAGAAAGTGCCTCAAGTCATCCTCACTTACAGCAAGCAAAGTTGTGTCATCAGCATATTGCAGATTATTAATGATTCTTTCTCCAATCTTCATGCCATGTTTTCATTCATATAGTCCAGCTTCTTGGATTATTTGCTCAGCATATATATTGAATAAGTATGGGAAAAGGATACAACCCTGATGCACTCCCTTC